AGGGTGATATGCAAATTAACTGCCAACAAATATGGCGGTTAATTTGCATATATAGGCGCAATAATGGGAGGCCATAGGGGAAGGATGGTGATTGGAAACACAGGCGGCAGGCAAGAGCCAGGAGGTACTGCCCCTGGCCCTGGATCGGAGAACCGGCTGCCTTTGCGTGCCCCCCTGCCGCCGCCCCTGCCAGGGATGAGCAACCGGAGATCCCACAACAGGAAAGGGTGGCCTGCAGCCAGCCCCCCGGTGCACCTGCCTGCCCATGGGATCACCGATGCGATCCCACAGCAGGAAAGGGGGGCCTGTAGGCAGCCTCCGTGTGCACCTGCACGGAGGATTGCTGTGGTGATCACAGAGCAGGAAAGGGCGACCTCTAGCCAGCCCCCCTCCCCCCCGCCCCCCCCCCCCCCCCCCGTGCGCCTGCCCCTGGGTCGCCACGGCGATCCCACAGCAGGAAAGGGCGGCCTGCAGCCAGCCCCTGTGTGCGCCTGCCCATGGGATCGCCCCAGAGATCATGGAGCAGGAAAGGGTGGCCTCTAGCCAGCCCCCATGTGCGCCTGCCTGTGGGATCGCCTTGGCGATCACAGAGCAGGAAAGGGTGACCTCTAGCCAGCCCCCCTGTGCGCCTGCCCCTGGGTTGCCACAGCAATCCCACAGCAGGAAAGGGGGGCCTGCAGCCAGCCCCTGTGTGTACCTACCCTGGGTCGCCACTGCGATCAAGCAGGAAAAAGCGGCCTCTAGCCAGCCCCTGTGTGCACCTGCCCAAGGAATCGCCCCAGAGATCACGGAGCAGGAAAGGGTGGCCTGCAGCCAGCCCCTGTGTGCGCCTGCCCCTGGGTCGCAGCTGCGATCCCAGAGCAGGAAAGGGGGGCCTGAAGCCAGCCCCCATGTGCACCTGCCTGCCCATGGGATTGCTGATGCGATCCCACAGCAGGAAAGGGCGGCCTGCAGCCAGCCCCCGTGTGTGCCTGCCTATGGGATCGCCACAGCAATCACAGAGCAGGAAAGGGCGGCCTGCAGCCAGCCCCTGTGTGCACCTGCCCCTGGGTCGCCACGGCGATCATGGAGCAGGATAGGGTGGCCAGGAGCCAGCCCCTGTGTGCGCCTGTCCCTGGGTCACCACGGGGATCCCAGAGCAGGAAAGGGTGGCTGGCAGCCAGCCCCTGTGTGCACCTGCCTGCCCATGAAATCGCTGATGCAATCCCACAGCAGGATAGGGTGGCCTCCTGCCAGCCAACCTGTGCGCCTGTCCCTGGATCTCCCTGGCGATCCCACAGCAGGAAAGGGCGCCCCACCCTGGCCACAGCTCAAGGGAGAGTACAACATGCAGTGGAGGCCAGGAGCCTGAGAGATCAACAGAGAGGGGCGCCTGCTCCAAGCCTCCAAGGTGTGGCTGGGGGCAGGCCCCCAGCAGACACACACACACACACACACACACACACACAGCGCCTACTCTGAGCTTCCAGTGTGGCTGGGAGCAGACCACCACTGGACACACATATACACGGCAACTGCTCAGAGCCTATGTGGCATGGCTGGGGGCAGGCCCCAGCAGACACACACACACACACATACACACACACACACAAACACACACACGGGACGCCTGCACCGAGCCTCTGCTGCCAGACTGTGGCCATCAGTAGGACATCCACTGAGGGCTCCCGGACTGAGGGTCAGGCTTGGCTAAGGGAACCCCATCCCACAGTGCACGAATTTCGTTCACCGGGCCTCTAGTTAGATTTAATGAATGTATTTGGCAATGTAGCAGGATATAAAATCAACACCCTAAAATTGATGGCTTTTTTTATACACCAATAATGAATTCTCAGAAAGAGAAACAAAACAAACAATCCCATTTACCATTGCAACAAAAACTTAAGATACTTAGGAATAAACTTAATCAAGGTGGCGAAAGACCTGTACTCAGAAAACTATAGGACATTGAAAAAAAGAGATAGAAGAATATATAAAGAGGTGGAAGAATATACTGTGTTCATGGATTGGTAGAATCAACATCATTAAAATGTCCATGCTACCCAAGGCAATCTACAGATTCAATGCAATCCCTATTAAAATGCCAAAAATATACTTCACAGATCTAGAAGAAATACTCCAGAGAGAAACCAAGATGGCGGCATAGGTAAACACCAGAGATTGCTGCCTCGCACAACCACTTCAAAAATACAACTAAAAGAAGGAATGGACATCATCCAGAACCACAGGAAGGCTGGCTGAGTGGAAATCCTACAACTAGAAGGAAAGAGAAAAGCATACTGAGGGTCAGAGGAGGTGCGATGAGGAAGTAAAATACAAAGGTGCGGAGGTGCGTGCAGAGAGGGCTGGCGGCTGAGGACACGGTTGTCTTTTTCAATTGGGAGGGAGTCTCAAGCTCTGAGCTCCAGTTCCGGGCGAGTCCTGGGGACCCAGACTCATACAGGAGAAACAGGACTGTCTGGCATCGGTCGGAACTTGAAGGCAGCTTTCTCTCGGAGGTGCTCGCAGCGATTGCCTGGACACTGAGAAGCAGGGCCTCTGAGGGCAGAACTAAGAGCAGCCATAACTGCTCGCTCCGCCCTGTTGATCCCCGCCCCGCCCAAGCCGTGGATGGAGGCCTTTGCATGTGAAAGGCCTGGCCCTTTGCAATCTGAAAATTACTTAACAAACTGCAGCTGGCCCAAGGCCCCACAGCAACTTGCATTGCTTCACAGCTGGCTTCTGCTGGGTAGCCTCAGGCAGAGGCTAGATTAGCACCTCCTTAGAGATAGAGGAGCCAGTGTGCCCAGTGGTCAGAGTGGGACCATCCAGATTGCAGCTCCTCGGATCCATAAAGGACACACTCAGGGGGCAGACTCAGTGAGCACCAAAGCACCACTGAAGCAAGTCTTGTCCTGGAGGGGTGTTTCTAGCACAGAAGTTCTCCCACTGCAGAAAAGCTGATTCTCAAAGCCAATTGGCCTGGAGGTCAATCCCTCCCAGTGTTACCTACTATAATCAAGGCTTAACTACAACAAGACTGTACACAAAGCCCACAAAGGGGTGCACCAAGAGTGTCCACCTTAGGTAATTGGGGAGGCTGAGCCACTGGGCCCTATAGGACACCTAACACAGAAGCCACTCTATCAACACAGGGAAGCATTAAAAAATGCGGAGAAAAAGAAACAAGTCACAAATGACAGAAATAGAGGAAAGCAAACTGCTGAATATAGAGTTCAAAACCACACTTTTAAGGTTTTTCAAGAACTTTCTAGAAACCGCCGATAAATGTAGTGAGACCCTCAAGAAATCTAGTGAGACCCTCGAGGTTGTGATAAAGGACCAACTAGAAATTAAGCATACACTGACTGAAATAAAGAATATTATACAGACTCCCAACAGCAGACCAGAGGATCACAAGAATCAAGTCAAAGATTTGCAATACGAAGAAGCAAAAAACACCCAACCAGAAAAGCAAAATGAAAAAAAAATCCAAAAATACGAAGATAGTGTAAGGAGCATCTGGGACAGCTTCAAGTGTACCAACATCTGAATTATAGGGGTGCCAGAAGATGAGAGAGAGAGCAAGATATTGAAAACCTATTTGAAGAAATAATGACAGAAAACTTCCCCTACCTGGTGAAAGAAATAGACTTACAAGTCCAGTAAGCGCAGAGAACCCCAAACAAAAGGAATCCAAAGAGGACCACACCAAAACACATCATAATTAAAATGCCAAGAGCAAAAGACAAAGAGAGAATCTTAAAAGCAGCAAGAGAAAGACAGTCAATTACCTACAAGGGAGTACCCATACGACTGTCAGCTGATTTCTCAACAGAAACTATGCAGGCCAGAAGGGAGTGGCAAGAAATATTCAAAGTGATGAATGCCAAGAACCTACAACCAAGATTACTTTATCCAGGAAAGCTATCATTCAGAATTGAAGGTCAGATAAAGAGCTTCACGGATAAGGAAAAGCTAAAGGAGTTCATCACCACCAAACCAGTATTATATGAAATGCTGAAAGGTATCCTTTAAGAAGAGGAAGAAGAAGAAGGCAAAGATACAAATTATGAACAACAAATACACATCTATCAGCAAGTGAATCTAAAAATCAAGTGAATAAATAATCTGATGAACAGAATAAACTGGTGATTATAATAGAATCAGGGGCATAGAAAGGGAGTGGACTGACTAATCTTGGGGGGAAAGGGGTGTGGGGGATGCGGGAAGAGACTGGACAAAAATCGTGCACCTATGGATGAGGACAGTGGCGGGGTGCGGTTGAGGGCGGAGGGTGGGAGGGGAAGTGGGTGGAGGGGAGCTATGGGGGGAAATAGAGGAACAACTGTAATAATCTGAACAATAAAGATTTAATTAAAAGAAAAAGAAATACTCCAAAATTTTATTTGGAATAAAAAAAGATGCTGAATGGCTGCAACAATCTTGAGAAAGAAAAACAAATTTGGAGGAATCACAATATCAGATTTCAAGCTATACATGCATAACCATGGACATAGACAATAAGACAGTGAGGGCCTTGGGGGGGGGGGCGGGCTGGAGGGGGTTAATGGGAGAGAAAAGGAGACATATGTAATACTTTCAACAATAATGAATTATTTAAAAAAAACACAAAAATATCTCACTGATATATTTTTATATTGATTCCCTGTGGAAATGACAATATTTCATATATAGTATATCAAATAAAAGAAGTATTAAAATTGTTTTCACTGATTTCTTTTTACTTTTTAATAACAAGATTTTAAATTGCATACATGGTTCATATCATATTTCTCTATAAGTAAGTGAAATTTCCTCTCATTAACAAAGCTTTGGCCTCAGATTTCACACATCTTGAGTGCTGGCTATGGATATGAGTTAACCATCTTTGCTTTGGCTGTTCTGCCTGGTGCATTCAGGAATACTCAGCCAGCAGCTCAGAACCTCAATTACAACAGTGACCTATGCAATTTCACATCAAGGAAACCATGAAGACTCTAGCAAGTCACTATATTTACCCAAATGATCTTTGATAACACACATTCACAGATCCCAGAGAATTCTTCAGGAAAAAAACAAAACAAAAAGATAAGAGTCTGCACAGGAGATTAGCAATCTACAGATTCAAAATAATTCCTATCAAGACAGCAATGGCGTATTTCGCAGAACTAGAATAAATATTTCAAAATTTTATATGTAGCCACAAAAGACGCTGAATAGCAACAGTTATCTTGAGAAAGAAGAATAAAGTTGGAGGGATCATGCTACCTGATATCAAACTATACTACAAGGCCATAGTAATCAAAACATCGTGGTACTAGCATAAAAACAAATATATAGATCAATGGAACAGAATAGATATCCCAGAAATAAACACATGCTTTTACATTTAATTAATATTTGACAAAGGGGTCAAAAACATACAATGGGCTAAATATAGTCTATTCAATAAATGGTGTTGGGAAAATGGGATAGATACATGCAAAAAATGAAACTAGACCACTATCTAACACCACACACAAGAATAAACTCAAAATGGATAAAAGACTTAAATGTTAGACTAAATCCCATAAAAATCCTAGAAGAAAACATAGGCAGTAAAATCTCAGACATTTCTCATTCCAATATTTTTTTCTGATATATCTCCACAAGCAATGGAAGCGAAAGAAAAAATAAACAGATGGGACTACATCAAATTAAAAAGGTTTTGCATAGCAAAGGAAACCATCAACAAAATGAAAAGACAACCCACTGAATGGGAGAACATTCACTGATACATGTAATAAGGGGTTAATATACAAAAATGATGAAGAATTTATAGAACTCAACATCAAGAAAACAAATAATGGGTAAAGTAGTTGAATAGACACTTCTCCAAAGAGGACATACAGATGGCCAATAGTTATACAAAAAGATACTCAAAGTCACTGATCATCAGAGAAATGCAAATTAAAACCACAATGAGATATCACCTCAGGCCTGTCAGAATAAATCAATAAATCAACAAACAAATGTTGGCAAGTATTTTTGAGAAAAGGGATCCCTGGTGCAATGTTGATGGGACTGCAGATTGGAGGAGCCAATGTGGAAAGTATTACAGAGTTACCTTACAAAATTAAAAATAGAACTTCCTTAGGATGCAGTGATTCCATCTCTGGGAATTTCTCTCAAGGAACCCAAAACACTAATTCAAAAGCACATAAATATATGCGCTCCTATATTCATTATAGCGTTATTTACTATAGCCAAGATTTGGGAGCAGCCCAAGTGTTCATCAGTGGATAAAACAGCTATGGAATACTACTCAGCTATAAAAAGGAAGGAAATTTTACCCTTTCCAACAGCATGGATAGACCTGGAGAACATTACGCCAAGTGAAATAAGCCAGTCAGAGAAAGAGGAGTGCCATATGATTTTACTCATATGTGGAATTTCATGAAGAAACTGAACTAATAAGCAAAATAGAGATAAACTCATACACAGAGAGCAGGTAGACAGCTCTGGTGGGAGGTTATAGGGGGGCAGGGGGAGGAGGTGGAGATATTGAGCAAAAAAGAAAAACAAGAAAGAACTCATGGTCATGGACAACTGTGTGGTGATTATTGGCAGGTGGTGGTAGTGGAAGATGGAATAGGTGGGATAAATGGTAATGAAAAAAAAAAGTAAAAAATAAAGAAAAATAACAAACCTATATAAATATATTTAAAAAAGACCCTGCTGCCCGGACCGGTTTGGCTCAGTGGATAGAGCGTTGGCCTGCGGACTCAAGGGTCCCAGGTTCGATTCCGGTCAAGGGCATGTACCTTGGTTGCGGGCACATACCCAGTGGGGAGTGTGCAGGAGGCAGCTAATCAATGTTTCTCTCTCATTGATGTTTCTGGCTCTCTATTCCTCTCCCTTCCTCTCTAAAAAAATCAATAAAATATACTTAAAAAATAAAAGACCCTGTTTAGATTAGGATTATTATTGGTTATATGGTAGGTAAAAATATGGTCCAGAATAACAATATGAGACCTCTAAGACGATGTTTTAAAAAGAAAAAAAAATCAGAAGGAAACTGCCTTGGCTTAAGTTTGCTAGCTCTGGTATGAAGCGGTATTATGATCAAGGCAAAGGTCATCTCCGAACCCCTTCCCCTTACTTTCCTTTGTGGCATCCTTCCCCTTCTAGCTCTTCTCCCTGGCTGGAAATCCCAGTGCCTTTCTAAACCCTGCCTCTTTTATCTGTCTCTCTTCACCGAAAGAAAAACAACTCCTGCTAATGTAAAGCCAGAAGCAGTGTGGGCTGATAGACACGTGCAGTTTGCAGAAAATTTCCAGGTAATTTGGATTTTCTTCCACACCACCCAGGGTAGAATCACTGCCCCAGACTGCAGGTGAATGTGGCATTCTTCCAGGAATATTTATATTTTAAAGAGTCACAGGATGGGCACACTACTAGGCGGAATTCTGGGAACTGAGTTTGGGATGAAGGTGGAGGAAAGCCCTATCCCCTTTCAGTGATGACAGCGTTATGAATATGGTCTGACTTCAGGGGTTGGAGAAAACTGCTACAATCCATTATTTGCTGCCCTAATGCATAAGTATCACAAAATTAATTTCTACTCAGTTTAATCTCTGCTCATAAATACCAACGGCTAGTGGGTTATCTTTTTCAAGTAACACAACCACATTTCAACATGTTTTCTGGAGATCCAATGCCTTAACCCAAATAATTAGTTTGTGGCAATCTCAGCAATGTTGCAGGCTGGCAAGGGTCATATTTTCAGCTTCACTGGACTTCAAATTACATGGAATAAGTAACAGCCTATATCTAGGTGGTTTCAGCCTCCTCATTTACTAACTGCCTAGCATGCTTTACTGTGCATGGTAAATGTTTTACTGCTTTTTGGAGTGAAATGATAATGTAAAAGTAAAATGATATATTTGCTCTGATCAGACATGGCCATTTGGAAATTCTCTTTCTCTGTTTTTCTTTTTATACACTGATACATTTCTTACTTCTAATGCATTATATTTTTAATCCTCACCTGAGGACATGCCCCTTTATTGATGAGAGAGAGAGAGAGAGAGAGAGAGAGAGAGAGAGAGAGAGAGAGAGAGAGAGAAGAGAGAGAGAGAATGGGAGAGAGAGAATGGGAGAGAGAGACATCAAACCTGTAACCTTTTGGTGTACAAAACAACACTTCAACCAACTGAGGCACACTGGCCAGGGCCTTCCAGTGCATTTTGAAGGTGATTCTGACTTATGTTATTTTTGCTATTCAGATATTTCAATTACTACAGTTGTAAATACTTAGTACTATATTTCTAGAGGATCACATTCATATAGCATTGTTTACTTTTTAACTTGCAATTTACTGTCTTTTGTTTCAAATGGGTATAAACTCAAAAAGGCCAGAAAATGGATTCTCCCTTTGGCCCTCCAGAAAGGAACCCAACTGTACCAACACCTTGATTTTTAGCTCAGGAAACCCAGTGCCAGTTATCTGAACTAAGAACTAGAAGACAAATTTGTGTTGTTTTAAGCTACGAATATTGTTACAGAAGCAATAGAAAACAAGTAACAGGTGGTGATTAGATTTGTGCTTCTTTATAATCAAAGGTAATTCTCCTGACCAACTTAGTATAAAATCAGCATTTTAAAATATCATTCACACATAATTTCTCTTTGTCAGGGAAGACAGCAATCACAACTGGTTTTTGAATGGCTCATGTTTTTTTTTTTTTTTTTAAAAATATGCCACATATAATTATATTGCTCCTGAAGAATTTGGGCTTGGTTATTTTTTGGACTTTTTTTTTTTTTTATTAGGTCAGTTCTAAGTTTACAGCAAAATTGAGAGGAAGGTACAGACATTTCCCATATACATGCTGGCCTCCACACTTGGTTATTTTTAAAGCCCTAAACATAGACGTTTATTTTTGTTTTAATACCAATTTCACATTCCAGTTTTTCTAAATGATGTTGTTTTATTTTTTTTTTTGTAATTTTTAAAATTGATTTCGGAGAGAGGAAAGGCGAGGGAGAGATACAAACATCAATGATGAGAGAAAATAATCCATTGGCTGCCTCCTGCACGTCCCCTTCTGGGGATGGAGCCTGCAACCTAGCATGTGCCCTGACCAGAATCCAAACCTGACTTCCTGGCAGCTCAACCACTGAGCCACACCTGCCTGGCTAAACAATGTTGCTATAAATGAAGATTTTTATTACTAATTTTTGTAAGTCCATTTGCTGTTGTATGAAACATACAGAAAATTTTCTTTTGTTAGAAACTAAGTTTCATTGAGACCTTAAATATTAAAAATATTAAAATCCTCACTGGAGGGTAGTTTTCAGAGAGAGTGGGAGGGAGGGAGAGAGAGCGAGAGCGAGAAAAAGAGAGAGAGAGAGAGAGAGAGAGAGAGAGAAAGAGAGAGTGACATTGACATGAGAAAGACACATGGATTGGTTGTCTCTTCCACGGCCCCAACCTGGGAGGGATCTAACCTGCAGCCCAGGCAACTGTCCTTGAACAGGAATCCAACCAAAACTTCCTTAAGTGCTCAGGTGGATGCTCTAACCATTGAAACATCGGCCAGGGCAAGGCTTAAACACTTTTTTCTTTCTGTCCCAACAGTAATTGCCAGATTAACTCTTTCTCTGTCTCCCCGCCCCCATCAACTCTTAATATAGTCCCAGAAGCTGTTGGAGTGAGGAGCCGCACTTTTAGGTGAAGAATGGATTAGAAACCCACCCTCCGGAAGGCGTTCTTGAGGTTTTCAGGTTGTTTCTCCCTCTAAAATAAGTGCAATTGTGATAACAAAAGAAATGGATGGAATGTTTTGTTACAGGTTGAATTACTGTGGCGCCCCCCCCCCCCCCCAACAATTCTTCAAAATGGGAAAGCTGTGGGATGAAGTCATCACCCACGGTGTAGAAAAACGAATGGCATTTTGAGAACAGAGTAAGGAGCCAAGTAGTTAATACCAATTTTACTTACTTAGGACATCATCACTGAATTTCAGTGTGTTTTAAAAATGCACAACTATTAACCAAAAAGTTAGAGATAA